GATCAAGCCAGAAGGTGGATGAATAGCTGGAGGCCTGCACTCCCGCCGAGCTAAAAGGCCAAAAAGCCAGAGGTCTGCAAAAAGATAAATCACGCTTTGTTTCAAGAAAAACTATTCTTACCCCTGAGTTGCACACTTCCACCTAGGGGTATTCATCGGGTCAAACCCGGACCGGACCGGCCCGGACCGGGATCGAATAAGGGGCATTTGGTGGACCGAAAACCGGACCGATTAAGCTAAGGACCGGACCGGTAAACCCTGGACCGGACCGGACCGAATAAATGTTATTTTTAATTTTTTTTAATTTGATTTTATTTATTTATTTTAAAGTATTCAATTGAATAAAAATATTACTACAACTAATTTTTAATTGTAACATACACTAAACATTATCAAACACAATTGTTTTGAATTTTTTTAAAAAAATTTAAATAAAATATATATCTTTCATCCGTATTACATAAAATATGTTCATAATTCTTATTTTGCATAGGGAATATTCTTCTTCTTATTGCATTTTTGTTTTTTTGTAATATTTTTTTGAGTTTTCGATTTATTTTGACAAACAGATGCATTGTTTACTATTTTTGTTCATGAGATTGTTTACAATGTTTGTTCTGCGGATTAGAGTTTTATTATTGATAAAGTACAAATTTAAGTTATAGTATTGGTACATAAATTTGAAATGCATTAATGTTTACTTTTTCACACTTTTCATATTAAAAATATTTAAAAATCATTACAATTGGTATCTTATTTTGAATTGAAATGTATTTAAAAATTATATGGAGTATTAAATAATAAAATCAAAACATTTAAAAAAATTAGCATTAAAGTTAAACTAATTTGAAGTATAAGAAAAAACCTTAAAAAATACAATATTATAAACTTATATAGAAAAAAATATTTAAAAAAATAAATAAAATCTAACCGGTCCACCGGTCCGGACCGAAACCCGGTGGAACGGACCGGACCAGACCGGAACCCGAATCAGGAAAAAATGAGGACCGGAGACCGGACCGAATAAGGACCGGTCCGGTCCGGTTTTGGTCGGGTTTCGGGTCGGTCTGGGTCCGGACCAAATAATGCACACCCCTATACTTCCACCCCTAAATCCTACATCCCACTATTTACAATGCTAGGATGGTTTTGTGAACCGTGTTTCCGCCAAAACAAATGGGCTGCTTACTCAGATATGGGCTTGGCGATGGGTTGACTACTCGAATATGGGCTTGGTGATTTGTGTCTAAATAAGGGGTGGTGTCAAATTAAATTTGATGTGTTGCTCAAGGGAAGATTTGGTGCGTTGCTCAAGGGATATGTATGGGCTCCCTTTTCAATAAAGTAAAAGTTGGCGCGTTGCTCAAGGAAAGCGTTATGTCAAATCAAATCCAAGCATTTAATGAATATGTTCGTAGATTCATTGTCCAATTACTACCTACGTCCTAGTGTATTTATCCAGTTTGACTTTTTCGAGTCAAACTGGACAAACTTTAAACTCTAATTAATCTCAATTTATATTGCATATTAGCATGATGAAATACAATTTTGAAATTTCTCAATACGATAAATCCAATAAAGTTATTTTTTGTTAAAATACATTACAGTTTTTATTTAATTGAAGCTCAAAGTTTGTCCATTTTGACTCAAAAAAGTCAAACTGGATAAATACACTGGAACGGAGGGAGTATTATATATAATGCTTATACCGAGTAGGCAATTCCTCCAATCCCATCCCAAAAGCTTCCCCCTTTTTCGAAATATGTCTAAAAAATATATATTTATTCTATTATTTATTCTAATCCTCCTATATACAGTGCTAGGATGTGTCAGTGAACAATGCTCCCGCCAAAAGAATTACTAAATGAAATCGGGTTAGGGTCCGGACATCTAGTCTGACGGGCGATTTTGGGCCATGACTTATTGGTTCTCGAATTACCTTCATAGTGTCAAATCATTGTGTGGCTCAAGAATTATTTGGTGCATTCTTTCATAAAGTAGTACATTCTTCCATAAAGTAAAAATATTTGTCAAATCTATTGTGTAGCTCAATGAATGCTTTATGTCAAATCAATTAAATATATAGATTTGCTTTATCCAATCATTTAATGAATGGATTAATAAGTGCATTTTCCAAATCTTGTAGAAAAATGCTAAAGTCACAAAAACTCCGGTCACAAAATACACAAACTTTCCATTTGTGTACCTCACCAAGTGAATAAAATAATGATTAATAATTAAAAAGTAGACATTTAAATACATAAATAGTAAGTTTGTGTATTTTGTGACCAAAATGTTTGTGACTCTAGCACTTCTCAATGTATATACTTCTTCTACCATTTAATCACTACCTCACAAATTCATAAAGTGAATTCCCCTTACATTCGAAATGTCTCAAATGTCTCAAAAATGTACAAAGACAATGTGGAATCCGGTTGTAGAGCTTGACAATAATCGAACCACTTGGATGCTCAAGTTACGAGTAATGCGTGTTTACTTTGTTTCGGTTTGGACAAAAGGCGAAGATCCAATGGAGAACATCTTTCACGGCGGACATGTATCATATTCTCAATCTTATTACAGTTATTTATTTTTTATTTTTTATTTATTCTAATCTAGACTTTTCTCCTTTTTTACAAGGCACGAGGGTTCACGCTCATCTTAATTAACCGAAAAAAACCTTTTTAAGAACACATAGTTGAAGAAGTGATGGCATTTAATATGATGGTACATTTATGATTATTAAACATGCTTGGTGTGTTCATATATGTTCAAGATATTGATGAATCTAACCCTTTCTATCCTTTCGCACATCAATTCGAAGTAAGAAATTAAAATGAGTATGTTCATTACCCTATTAAACTCATTAAAATATTCAATGCATTCCTTATCAACAAATGATGAGGAAGAGGTTAGTTCCCAAAACTCATTTACTTTTTTTAAAAATCAATTTACTTTTGAAGAGTTAAGGCAAGCATTTGATGAGTGCCAAGAAGACCTTTTTCGAACCATTAGGGAGAAAAAGGAACTCAAGTGGCTCTTGAAACCTCTCGAGATGAAAACAAAGATTTAAAACTTAATCTTGAGAGGCTTCAAAACCAAAATGAAGAATTTCAAAAGAAAAACGAAATTTTGATTAATGAAAAAGACAAAGCCAAACGAGGGGCTTTGAAAATGTTTTATGATAGCTATAACTCAATTAAGGAACGAGATAACCAACCAAAACTAATGAAAGAAGTTATTGGTCATGGTCAATCAATAAATTCCCCATCAAACAAAGCCTCAACTTCTAAATCAAAAGTAAAGGCTTGCCATTATTACATGCAAATTAACCATATTGTGACAAGTTGTCCTAATAGAAGGTTAGTTGAAATGCATAAACTAAAATGGGTCAAGAAGGTTCTAACCGGTCGAAATCTAAGAGAACTGGATATCAAAAGAAAAATTCGATTACTCCTTTTTACTGTATGTGTATAATATAAATTCAAGAAAATGTTTATAAAGAAATGTCTTTATTACGCAATAAGAATTCAATTATTTTTTTGTTACATTTAGTATTTTTAATGGTACATAAAATAAAAAAAACTAAATAATTTGAACTTAACTACCGCATTAAATATTAAACTAATACTCCATACTACACAGTTTATTTCATTACATAAATGTGCATCAGTATTGTTGTACACACACACACACATATATATATATTAATTTTCAAAAATATATGGATTGTGTCATTTTTTCTGTTATACATATAGTATGCTTTCAATAAATAAGTAAGAATTAATAAACATTTACATTTATGAAGGACTTCGAAAATTAATAACTAATAAATATGAGTAACACAATCCAAAATTTAATGCATGCGACTCCTTTATTTGATAGGACTTCGAATATAATCACATTTATTACAATGACACATTATCTAACTATATTCAAATAATCACATTTTTAAATATTGTTACTGCCTAAATTAATGGACTATCTAATTGGGTTTGGGCCAGTCGAATTAGGCATAATTGATAGGTAAAGTTGCTGCGTAACTCGATATAAACTTTATGTCAAATCAAAATAAATAAATATGTAGCGAATTGATATGAAACCGCGCGCGTAGTATTGTTGGTGCGTGGCTCGATGCAAATTTTATGTCAAATCAAAATAAATAAATAAATGAGTATTGTATTACTATAGAAACACGTGCGTAGTAAAGTTGGTGCGTGACTCAATGCAATCTTTATGTCAAATCAAAATAAATAAATGGATAGTTGTAGAAATATTATTAGAACTGAACTTGATGAATACATTGATCACAAACGCCTTATTCATACAAAACTAACTCTAATTACATCTGCTAGCACTTTTCCTCAAGTTGAGCATGAGGTTAACGAATGCACAACTTGAACAATAATTAAACATAAGCTAGAAAAAACAACCCATGATAATCAATTTGGATAAACTTTCTTCATACTCTATGTGTCTCAAAGACTAGGACTTCTATAGAGTCAAAGAAGCAATAGTGTTGTCATAAACTCTTTGGATAGTATCATACATTTTGTAGCATTCCTCAATATTGTCTTCTTCTTCATCATGCCTTAATAGGTGCTTGTAAGGTACTATTTCCGTCCCAAAAATAATGTCTTCTTCACTATTAACATTTTCCTTAATTAGATATGTTGATATATAGAGACATGGTGTGAATTTACACAAAAAAACTGTTTATTAGGTTACAAAAAAAAGAGGAAAAAATGCACCAAACAAAAAGAAAATGATTTCAAGAAAGTCAATAAACAAAATAGACCTATTCTATAGTGCACTTAAGGTCCACTAAGAATGAGCAAAATAAATATTTCTTTACTAGTTAAATAAATATTTATTCATTTTTAAATAAAAAAAAGTTTTTTTAGATAAGAATATCCATAAATTTATATGGGTACTTTTCAAACTAGTATTCTCCTGAAATTACTTTTCAGAAATTCTTCCAAACTGGGTTTTAAAGCTCTAGAAAAAAACACTAGTCCATCTCTTTCTTCCCGTTCTCCTGTCATCATCCTATGAGCGGAGCTCGTGAACACGGCGGCAACCACCTTTCCGATGCCTCTATCGACCACCATGATCCTCAGCTCCTCTACCCTCTCGCACCACACTCGCCAATTCCTCTTCCCCTCACACTCCATTCAGATTCTGCGGAAACTCCAATCGCCCTTCAGTCTTCCTTCAAATTCACCAAATTGCCGCGTTCTGATCGTTCGGAACTCCGGCGACATCACTGCCAAGCCTTCTCCGGAGTTCTGGAAGCAGCTCTGCGATTCTGTTCAGGACAACAAGCTTCACGCCATCCGCCAACTTTTTTCTAGGCCTGGAATCAACATCGACGCCTATATCATACCTTCACAAGACGCCCACCAGGCGAGGCCTCGCCATATAATCTAATTTATCGTCCTTTCTGTCTCTTTCATGTTTCAATACATCTTGGATTTTGCGCATTTACGCATTTTATATTAAATGAATGTTGAATACTTGCAATTTCCTGAGTGATTGCTTCGAGAAGCTCATTACATTTCTACTGATTGATCATCTAGTCCAGTACTACTATTAACAGTGTGTTTGGATTGGAGGAGAGAAATTTAATAAGGTAAGGGAAGGGAGAGTAGTATAAAAGAGAGGAAGGGAGAGAGGAAGGGAAGGAAGAGTATAAAGGAGAGGAAGGGAGACGATGATATCTTGTTTGGATTAGAAGTTTTATGAAGGGATCATTCTCCCTTGCCTCCATTTTACCCCAAATTGGAGGAATTTAAAATAAAGGATTTGGAAAGATGGATATCATCCCTTCAAATCCTTCACCCCTCATCTACTCCCAAAACAAACAAAGAAAAATTATCTCCTCTCCTTTAATCCAATTCCCATTCAAATGCCTCCCACTGTTAGAGCCTTATACTACGAATATGTTAGCAGTGCCAGTCATTCAGTGGCAATATTAGCAAGGAGTAGTTTTTTTCTCTGTGGACTGAAGAAAAGATAATGCATTTTTTTTGTTGAAATTTGGGAAAAAGACTAACGTAAGAGTAAAACATTGAAAATATACCAAACTAGGAGTTCTATGTTTTTTTTCCCGAAATAGGAGTTAAAATGCATTTACATTACCAATCATGACCATGTATTTTTTTCAAAAAGTATAGTAAAATGCCCATGTACAATGCCACATTACCACAATGCGAACTTCTATTTAGAAAAAAACAGGAAACTCCTATTTTGGTACTTTCTCTATGTTTTACTCCTATTTACGGTGAATTGTTTTGAGACTTTTAATAATAAATCTACGATCGTAAGTAGCACTAGCTTAAAACACTTCTTAGTGACTATAATCAAAATACTTATTTATTGCACAACTCCAAGAATGGCGGATATATTTCCTAAACTTCTCGGAAAAGGAAGTATGTGATTTAATGTTCATCTGGGTTATTATTATTACTGTAGTAATGACAATAAAGGCATTTCTTTTAAAATTTCTAGAGTGAATTCATTGCTGAATGTTATATGCGGAGAGCATATATATCGGGTTTCACTGGAAGTGCAGGAACTGCAGTTGTCACAAAGGACAAAGCAGCCTTGTGGACAGATGGGCGCTACTTTCTGCAGGTGTGAAAGTGAACATGATCAATTTGTACCGCATGACTTTATTTTATATGTGTTGGGAGTGTTTAGTAGCATGATGGTGGGTATTATAATAATTAATTTTCATATTGCTGTTGACAGGCAGAGAAGCAGTTGAGCTCTAGCTGGATTCTTATGCGAGCAGGTAATTGGGGAGTTCCTACAATGAGTGAGTGGCTCACCAGTGTCCTCCCACCTGGGTGTAGGATTGGAATTGATCCTGTGAGTATTGCTCAAACTTGATCTGTGCGATAGTAATATGTTGCATCATCCTGTAAAAACAAAATTACAATGTCTTATATCCTTATATATACTTTTTTGAACAAGTAGAATTAGAATGTTTTGCTTCACAAAATTGTGCCGAGCATAAAATAGATATGTTTGAACATTTTATTCTCTCCCCAACATTTAAATATTCTAAAAACCTTTATTAATCCATGATGAGTCTGTAGTTAAGTAAATCAACAGAATAGGTACCTTTAGCGTGCTCTTACTTTGAGTTACTTCCGGTCATGCACATTCTCTTTTTGTGTTGTTATCAATGAAAATGAAAGGAGTATAGTTATTAGATTTGAATGTTCAAGTCCACATAATCTAAGTTAGACTATGAATAACTTTTAGCAACCGGCGTTGAGCAACTCTGTGTTGAAAATGGTTACCAATTATTCCATAAAAGAATATGCTGAACACCGTTCATACTTTCAGGGCATTGTGATACATTAATTTTCATAATTTCTACTCCTATTATATTTGCAGTTCCAATTAGACGTGCATTTTTCTAGAAATCCATTATGTTTTGATGTTGCACATCATTAATTTTGTGTTTTCTACCTCAATAAAACATTTTATTTTATGAAACAATGGTGTTTTGCTGATAAGTTGCTTTGGTTTTGGCTTTTCCCAAGGGACCAGTTTCTTTTTTCTTCAGATGCTGCAGAAAAACTGAAAGAGGACATATCTACAGGAAATCATGAACTGGTGTTTATATCCAAGTTTAACCTCGTAGATGAAATATGGAGAGAATCAAGACCACAGCCTCCAAAAGAACTAGTTAGGGTGCATGACCTAAAATATGCTGGTGTTGATGTCTCATCCAAGTTAATTTCCTTGAGGTCTAACTTAATTAGTGCGGGTTCATCTGCAATTGTTATTTCAGTTCTTGATGAAATTGCCTGGTTGTTGAACTTGGTAAGCAATCATAGGCTTCATAGCCTTCATAACGCCTCTTTTAATTCCAGTGTCGGGACTTTCTTCTTTGTAAACATGAACTGAGATTATTCAAGTTATGCATTTACCTGGGGTTCCCCACTTCCCCTTTTAATACAGTAAATTATTTTTAGAAATGGAGAGATGCTTGAAAGAGAGACATTGCAATCAGTAATAGCGTTGGTTGTATAACATGCTTTGCCTTTCCTAATGCAATGTTCATTTTTCATTGCTCATTGTCTCTGAGATAAAGACTGACATTAATAATCATTTATGATTGTACAGAGGGGGAGTGATGTTCGGCATTCACCCGTCATGTATGCGTATTTGATTGTGGAGATTGATGGAGCAAAGTTATTCATTGATGATTCAAAAATTACACCAGAGGTTAGGGGTTACTTGAATAGTGCAGGCATCGAACTGAGAGCATATGAATCCATCATTTCTGAAATTGAAAGGTGATTTCCAAGGTTCTGCATTTATACTCTGTTAGAGTATATAACAATCATTCTTGGGCCACAACCACAAGCTTGAGCTTGTGGTTGAGTTGGTTCCTTGACATGGTATCGGAGCCTTGATGACCAAGAGGTCACGAGTTCGAAACTCACCGCCACCCAGTTTAAAAAAATTAAGGTTTCACGTGTAAGGCTCAAAGAGGTCACGCCTGCACGTGAGGGGGCGTGTTAGAGTATATAACAATCATTCCTGGGCCACAACCACAAGCTTGAGCTTGTGGTTGAGTTGGTTCCTTGACATACTCTTTACTTGATGTATTTTTAATGTGTATGTTTTCTAATCCTCAAGGTTGTGTGCTGCAAATAAAAAATGTGTATGCTATAACGGTTTGCTCTCTGTACCACGAGGCTAGTGTGAACTAATTTTTTTCAAGAAGCTGTCTCACTGTTAGAAATAAATCTCTGTCTGATTGGTGTTCACTGTACACAATATAGTACATTAGTACCATAGGATAGTGGAATGAACAACAACAACAACATTACCCCAGTGCCTCAAGGGCTCCTGCCCATTGCGGGGTAAGGGGGGGTCGGATGTACGCAGTCTGACCCCTATGTTTAAAACATAGAGCGGCTGTTTCCAGATGACCCATGATGAGCGTCGAAAGTTACATTGACTAACTGCTACTTCACAATTGCAATTTGCAAGAAGCGCAGACAATTTAAAGAACCAATTTGTTTTATTCCATAGGATAGTGGAATGATTTAATAAAATTATTGTTTTCTTAATGTCCATTTCTCTGTAACATAAATGCATTGGATTTGTGTCTCGGGCTATGACCATGGAATGTTTCTTTTATATTGTTAAGATGCATGACCTTATTCTCTCATGAAGTAAAATGTTTTTGTTCAGTTTGGCAGAAAAAGGAGCAAATCTATGGTTGGACAAATCATCTGTAAATGCTGCTATTGAAAATGCATACACGTCTGCATGTGATAGATACTCTAGGAGCCTTGGAGGAAGGAAGGGAAATAAGGGTGGCACCAGTATGGACTCCAATGGTGTTTCTAGGGAGCCCCAGGCATTATATAGGAGCTCTCCTGTCTCTATGACCAAAGCTGTGAAAAATAGTGCAGAATTAGAAGGCATGCAAAGCTGTCATCTAAGGTAACTAAAATTGTAGCTGCCACATGTTATTATACTACCTTTCATAAATAAGTCAATAGCAGTGGTATCCAATTGCAATCCTAAAATGGATATCCTGTTTTGGTTTTAAAGAACAGAAAGTTTGCTCCTTGTATCAGAACACATGATGTTTCAATAAGACATTAATATGGCGTACTCATGGTCATAGATTAGTTTCAATAGTATATTGCCTTAACAATCATAGGCATAACATAACGATGCAAGCTTGTCAAACACCAATGCACTGTTTATAAGCTGATGAAGTATATTGTTAATAAAGGTAAAGGGTCATATAAGCCCTCTCATATGTTCTCAATCTGAAGTTTTAGAAACAGAAAGAATTAAGGAAAAGAACTCTCTACTGAACTCACTTAAAACAAGTCATTTTTTCACCTTAATTAAGTAAACTCGTGTCTTCATTTGGTTTGGCTTCTTATCTCGTCCTAAGCAATTCTGGTAGCCAATGAAGAATCTCCTAGAATCAACTCAATAAGATTTTTTTTCCTGTTAACCTAATCGTAGCTAACTTATTTTTAAATATGTGGGATAGTGGACTTAATATCCTGTTCTATTCAGCTTTATAATCCGATTATCCACACTTTAGTCAGACTAATCTCCACACTCTGGTCTCCATTACCAGAACCCACTGTATAAGTTCTAGGTAAAATATAGATCATTTCATACTTAAATATTACTCCGTATAATGTTTTGTATGTATACTTTTGATGAACAAGTTCTTTGATATTTCCATACTAACTTTTTATAGGAATAGCACATACTTATTACAATTACTATGTTTTAGTTTTTTAAAACATTTTTATTGTTGAAGTATTTAGCATTTTTATATACAGTATGTCGTGTGTGTGTGGATATATGTATGTATGTGTGTGTGTGTGTGTGTGTGTGTGTGTGCATGCATGCATCATGCATGCATGCATGAGAAAATAGTTAAAGCTGAAAAATAAAACACTATAACAATTGTACTCCGTATAATAGCTTAGGTTAAAATAATTTGATAATTTATTATATTTAATGTATAAGAGTTTAGATATTACGGAGTATAAGTTAAAATATGAGTTATATTTTAAGCTAAACTCTGGCAACACATTGTTTCAATCCGAATCCCACAAGCGGTTGCCGATATGATTTTGAAAGTGACCAGTACTCGACAGTAACAAATCCCTAGAGTGTAACCAATCCAAAATGATTCTAACCCAAACTTGAGCTCATAATGTATAGTGTAACCAGAAAATATAATTTTAAAATAAATTTATATGTACAAATTTAAGTTAATTAATCGGAATGAAAATGTGCTTGATTGAACTGGATAAGCTTTCCAATATACCATTAACAAACAATTCTAATAAAAATGAAATTTTTTTATTATAATAGTTTATACGAGTAATATTTATATTGAGACACCTTAATTTTTTAAGTTCTCATACATATTATTTATCTCAATAAAGGCATTTTTCTTTTTATAATCACTAGAGATAACAAACATTACTGGTACACGAATATATATGTAACTAAAATCTATTTTACTTTTGTATTACATTTTAATCAATATGACAGGTTACCAGTTTCCGGAATCCAATATACCAAAGTTGAGACTCTAGTTACTAGTCTCGAGGCTCTAGTCTCCTCACTAGACTCTTCACTTTAGCTACCACTAACTTTAGTTACCAGAATCCAAACTCAGACTCCAGTTAAAATGAGAACGAATGAAAGATTCCCGTGATTAGTTTTGACCTATTTTGAGAACCGGTTGAATAAAATATACTCTATAATTTAAATAAATACTAAATCCTAAAGAAAAGATTTAGCTAATGTGGCCCAAATGAATAAGTAAGCAAAATTACACTTGTTTCAGAGTGTTGCACCTCTGATTTGTCCGGGGAACATATTGTCAAGGAACCAATTCAACCAAAAGCTCAAGCTTGTGGATGTGGCCCAAGAAAGGTTTGCTATATTCTAACACGCCCCCTCACGTGTAGGCAAGTCTTTTCGAGCCTTACACGTGAAACCTTAAATTTTTTAAAACTGGGAAGCACTAAGTTTCGAACCCGTGACCTCTTAGTCAACAAGGCTCTGATATGATACCATGTCAAGGAACCTATTCAACCAAAAGCTCAAGTTTGTGGTTGTGGCCCAAGAAAGGTTTTCTATATTCTAACACATATCAAGTTATCAACCTCCCATTTTTGTAACCCACATAAATTCATGTACTGAAATAAGTGTCACATAAATTTGATCACTCATAAAAGCGATCAATTGGGCCAATTTAACTGAGAACAGCCTGCTTTTGTGCATAAATTACTCATGGCTCTCTTCTTCTTCCCTAAGTGGAAGAGAAGTTGTCATCATTTTTTCCACATATGGTTTTTCTTTTCTTTGAACTGTGTTCTTCCTTTGTGTTAGATCATTTTGAGCAAGCTAAAGATGAAGAGGACTTCTTGGAGTGCAATACCAAAATATGGAAGTTCTGCGTTTACAAAAATAATGCTAATACTAACTATGGTAATTTGAAACTCTGAATTGGGTGAGTTACACATTACCATTTTGGCATTCTCAAAGCCAGACTTCATCTCCATCACTCTTGCGAGAAATCTGAAACCCATAAGCTTTGCCTTCCCCCCAAACGTTGAGAAATGGTTCTTTAGAATGGATTCTATCGTTGTGTCCTCTCCCTGATTCACTGTACTGGACAGAGAAATATGCTTTTTCTGATGTTTCAGCGCCTTCTTCCACTGGTCATCACATTTCCCATTTACTTTTTTACTCGTGGATAGAATCAAGAATCTTTATTGGATGATATGTGCAATTATGCTTCAGTACTGAAAAAAAAGATTAAAATAAAGACAAAGAAAATAAAGAAAAAGATAATCAATCACATTTATGGAAAAGATAATGACATTTATTCCACTTAGGAAAGAAGAAGATTCACGTGAGCAATTTCCCGAGTATGTAGTCTCCAACTGAATTGACGTAATTGATCTTTTATCATGACTTATGACCAAGTATATGTGTATGACGTTTGTTTTGGTACAAGTACTTATGTTATGCATTGCAAAAACTAGGAGAGCTTATTTGACCATTTCTTGTTTATGCGCACATTTGTCTTGTACAGAGATGCTGCTGCTCTTGCACAATTTTGGGTTTGGTTAGAGGAGAACATCTCTAAGGATGTGAGCGTGATGGAGGTAGAAGTTGCTGACAAACTTTATGAATTTCGTTCAAAACAATTTGGCTTTCTTGACACAAGCTTTGACACTATAAGTGGTATATTAATCCTCCTTTTTGTTTTATTGGTTATCTTTTTCTATAAACTTTTGAATGTGCATCAATCTTTGATAATGATCTCTTGTTTTTAGTTGTCATGAAAATGTTCATACCAAATTGTCTTTGAGGATTTTATGATCATCTTATTTAGCTTCTATGGTTCTACACACATGAAGGACACAATATTTTCCATGCAAGCAAGAGAACCCCTATGATGGTATTGATTTTGGAATTACATCTCATTCATTCTAAGAATGCTGTCATAAGAAAGGCATCCATATATAAATTTCATACCGTTGAGACGTGAATATAAAGAATATATGTGACATCCAATTATTAGCTCGAGTTACTTGTGATGGTTAATAACTTCAAAATGGCTCGAAGCCAGGTTCTGAGTTGTGTACCGTCTCAACTAAAAGCTCAAGTTGATAGTTAGAGGTCACATTTATTATTTATATTTATGTCTCAATGTCTCAATACACCCCCACATGAGGATGATCCGAAATGCTTTGTTGTGTATCACACTTAAAACATTGATGGCGCGAGTGGAGTGGATGTTAAAACCAATGACTTTGGAGATATCCAGGCTAAAGACTCATGGGCCACTATGAATGGTCTCTAGATGGGGAGACAAAGTGGGCCAAAAATTGCTTTGATACCGTGTCATGTATCCGTTTTAATTGAAGGTGTAAACTAATTGTTAGAGGCTAAGCCAAAGTTCTATACTATGCGCCCCTCATGCAAATGTCCATGGACATGAAGTGTTACTGCAGCAAGAATTCCTCTATACCTTGCAGATAGATTAGCACATGACTGCTAGATATCAAACTTGTGATCTCCAAGCAAACAAGACTGGTACCAATACCATGTCAATTGTCAAAGAACTTTTATGTGAACATGAGTTGCTTCTTTGGCATGGTATCAAAGCTTTGTTCGCCTGAATTGTGGGGAAACCTCAATGTTGATTTATGCACGAGGTATGGAAGAACCTTTGTTCCAGTTGCACTTCAAGCCCAAAGGATATTCATGTGAGGGGGTATGTTACAAAATAAAACATTTCTTAGACTTCTAATCACACGTTTAAGCTTTTGGTTGAGTTTAGCGTGGTGATACATCCCTCCGAATCTAACATAGTTGGGCAGCGGCTGTGCTGATGATTGCGATGATGATTACTTGTGCACACAATGCTAGCATAAAGGAATATCAGCTCATATGTGATACTTTCAATACAACAACAACCCAGTAGAATCCCACAAAAGCAGTGTTTGGGGAGGGTGTGTGTACGCATACCTTACCCCCACTAAAAATAGAGAGGCTGTTTCCAAGAGACCCCTAGCTCAAGCAGCACAAAAATCAAGTAGCACGACAAGAGGATGGAGTACACAAAGGCATAAGGTACCTTATTGGAAGAGGAAATACGTCAAGCCATTAAGCCAGCACAACACAACATAACTCGAACAAAACTAGCACTCTAGACTAAACGACTACCCAACTACTCTAATCCTATATCTCTAGATGTCCCTATCTAAGGCCATATCCTTGGTAAGAGCCACGTGTCCTAAGTCCTGCCTAACCACCTCTTTCCAATTCTTCCTAGGTCTACCCCTATCCCCAAACCCTCCAACTATTGAAAGCCTCTCGCATCTTCGCACCGGGGCCTCAGGTGCACGCCTTTTCACATGACCAAACCATCTCAACCTAACCTCTTGAAGCTTATCCTCCATCGGTGCCACTCCCGCCTTTCTCCGAATAACCTCATTCCGGATCCTATCCAACCTTGTGTGCCCATACATCCACCGTAGCATCCACATTTCTGTTGCATGTAGTTGATGAATGTGGACTTTCTTAACCGGCCAGCATTCCGCACCATAAAGCATTGCCGGTCTGACCACGGACTTTTAAAACCTTTCTTTCATCTATATGTGATGCTTTCAATATCTAATGATAATGTTTTACAGAAACCAGACATCTATGAGAATATTCATGTTAGCTTTTGTTGCATTTAGTCCTTGACTTTTTAAGGTTTTTGAACTAGGGGTCTTGTGGATGGAGAAATTCAAATCGTGCCTTAAGTTTTGGGTTTACGGCTGGCTATTCATGTTTCCTCTTCCCTGATTTCAAATCCATACTTCATCATTGTTATAAATGTCATAGCAGGTTCTGGCGCGAATGGTGCCATCATTCATTACAAACCAGAGTCTGATAGTTGCAGCAATGTGAATCAACATGAACTTTTCCTTTTAGACAGTGGTGCTCAATATGTTGATGGGACAACTGACATAACTAGGACAGTGCATTTTGGTGAACCATCTTCACGAGAGAAAGAATGTTTCACACGGGTTTTGCAGGTGTATTTTTTTTCATGTTCATTTCTTTTGCTAGTTCAAGGATTTCTTGTAAGTTGTAACATATTTTAAAAGAGAGTTATACTATCATACTCCGTAACATGTTACTTGGCTGCTTTATTATCTTCAACTTGGTTCTTTCATGGTCCCCGTACATTGCCGATGGAGGTAAAAGAGTCATTATTAACAATGGTTTAGACGTTTAGTTTCAGGCACATAATGGACTAAGTCAAAAGGGCACATTAAACTTCTCTTGCTTCTTATTTCCTATGAAGTTTTGGGGAATAAGTGTAGCAATGTGTCTAGGATCTAATGAAAACAACCTCTGATTTTCTTGGGCAAGAGTGCTTACATCTCTACCCCTCAGACTGAAACACAATTGGGGGCTTATGTTGGATTGTTGTTTATCTCATGGAAGGAAACCTTTTCGTTACCTTTATAAGTAGGGCAAGGTCTGCAATTCTGCATAGACCTTCTCTCCCCACTTGTGGAATGCTATTGGACTGTTGTTGCTATCTCAAGGTGATTTGGTGGTGGTCAGCACTTGCATTTAGGAGTTCTGGAGACATATTAGAAGTGCAGAGTCTTTGTAGGGGATGAGCGCAAATGTTGCTGATTGCATGCATGTTTTATTATATTCCCTCCATTCTTAAATAGTTTTCGTGATAGATTTTATAATGTTTGACTGAACAACAACAACAACAACAACCCAGTTAAATCCCACAAGAGTAGGTAGGGTCTGGGGAGGCTGTGTGTACGCAGACCTTGCCCCTACTCAAAAGTAGAGAGGCTGTTTCCAAAGAGACCCCCGGCTCAACGTCGAAAGTTGCATTGCTTGACTAACTGCTACTTTATTAATTAAAGAAGAGCAGATAGTTTAGAGATCCATTTTGATTTATTCCATCACACCCCAAAGCCAAAAAATGGTGAAATTTTGGCTCCATCGGAGATGATGGAAATTTTGGCTTCATTAATTAATGTTTGACTGAAATTGTTATAAATTCAATTTGTTTAAAAATTGATGTAAAATTAAAACTTAAAATTATACTCCCTTCGTCCAAAACAAATCTTTCCATTTTCACTTTCCATCCGTCCCAAAAAATACTTCAACTTTCAATTAAAATCTCCATTTTACCCCTACTAATTATCAATGTATCTATCACATCATATCTATTCACATTTAATCTACGTATCAGAGCCCTACTATAATGTAAGTGCAAAATTGGAAAGTAACATCAAAATTACACATTCCTTAAATATCACTTTTGAACAAAATGGAAAAGTTTTATGGGACGGAGAGAGTATATATAAAATTTACACCAAAAGTTTTACAAAACAAAAGGTGACTTTGACTATTTTATTTTATCAAGTGATCAATGAAAATATGCAATTTATAATTTAATTATGGCATTTATCATCATCATCCTCCTCCTCGTCACCACCACCACCCACTCACACAACATGTCACCCTTTGTTTATGGCCCTTTCATAAACCTCTTTACCCCTTGGGGTTGAGGTAAGATCTGTGTATCTTACCTAGTTGTCTTACTCTTTGTTGCATATATTGGGTTTTGTTTGGTATTGTTTAATGTTTCTAGCAGCTGACTCCAACCTTTTCAGGGTCACATAGCTCTTGATCAGGCTGTCTTCCCCGAAAACACTCCGGGATTTGTACTTGATGCATTTGCACGGTCATCCTTGTGGAAGGCTGGCCTTGATTACCGGCATGGTAATTGTATTTTCCATTTCTCCTATGCTTTATATGACTGAAAACTATCTTGAATGTTTGCCAATCTAGAAGAGAAATGCAAGGAAGATTAAATTCTCCCTCCGTCCCAAAATAATGTTCTTTCTTAAGTGCTTGACTTCACGGTCTCTGATGCAACACTTACATCATTAATATCTTTATTTATATATAAATACATTTTATCAAAATATGATATTTCAAAAGTATACTTTAAGATGAATCTAGTGATATCAAGTTTAAATTGTAGGTCAATATAGTTTTTCTGAAATGTATGATCAAAGTTTATCAATTTTGACCATAAAAAGGCAAATGGAAAAATTTGGAACCTTTGTTGGGATGAAGGGAGTACCACTTTGTGTTTTTAGAACTATCATGTATTCTACTTGAATATTTAAAAAGGTTTCCATTTTGATTTTGAATTCTTTGTTTTTTTTGGGATCTGTGTTCCTCCAGGAACTGGGCATGGTGTAGGAGCTGCACTGAATGTCCATGAAGGCCCACAAAGCATTAGTTTCCGTTTTGGAAACACGACTCCTTTGGTACCAGGGATGGTAGTCAGCAACGAGCCTGGCTACTACGAAGACCATTCATTTGGCATTCGGATTGAGGTGGTGCATATCTGTGTGGTTAATTGGTTATATCTTTATGTCCTGTTCTACCCATCTATGATGAGAGTATCTAGTTGGGTTACTTCTTGCAAGTCAACTCAAGCTTTACTCTTTCTGAACAGACTTCTTTCCGGAAACACTTCTTTTGGTGCATTTTCTAACATTTGATTATGATATTTAAACCATGCTTTCCAGAATCTTCTTTATGTCAAGGAAATGAACACTCCAAATCATTTTGGCGGACTTAGATACCTTGGGTTTGAAAAACTTACTTTTGTTCCAATACAGGTATACGAGCTTTCAAGAATGATGTTCATCCAACAATTTTTTTCTTCTTCTTCCCCATTTCCTTACATTAACACAATCAGAATTCAAGGCATTCATTTTGTGATTTGTCTACGTGGCTTTCGGTCACTCGGGATGCTTATTCCTGATGTGTTTTTTTTGTCTTTGGTAGACTAAATTGGTTGATTTGTTGTTACTCTCTGCTGCTGAGATCGGTTGGCTGAATAGTTACCACTTGCTCGTTTGGGAGAAGGTAATTTTTTTTGTTTACATCTCTATTTGAGCATACAAAAGTCCGGTTTTCAGTTTTTTAACAGAAAATATTTCAATTTTGGTCTTGCCTTGGTCCAACCTAAGACCTTATCAGAATATCAGTTGCTCGTGTGGGGCCCGGTGCTTTTTCACTGGCAAATTGATGACAAATATCTACACAATATATATATCAATAATCTAAAATGCATGGATGAAGATTGAAATGTGTTTTATTAGCGTGTTCTGTAATTGACATTGTTGACAAACCTGCGGTTGATGTTTAGAGCTGCTGTTGTCGACAGGTTTCGCCTTTACTTGACGGTCCTGCACGCGAATGGCTGTGGAACAACACCAGGCCAATCCTCGTCAAGCCCACTTGATCCATCCATGTAATCTATACTATGAAAACGTAACAGCATTGTTTGTAAGTTGTAACCAAACACACACAGAGTAATTAAATTATACTCCCTCGGTGCCAAAACTAGTGTGACACTTCTCAAATTGGACTTCCTAATACTAAAGGCCCACTTCCCTATTTGACTTAACTCGCTACATTTTTAGATCACTTTTGCACTTTGAATTTGGGACTATTTTATTGATGGTAAAAATAGTGTTTTAAAAAGAGGATGAGCCATCGATCCTCGTTCGTCAATCTGTGCCGTGGATCTCCTTAATTGATCTCATCTCCGGTGAATCGTGTCCAGTAGTAAGCTTCTAGTCTCACCTCTTAATTAAGACACTCACCTCTTCCAATGTTATATTTCAATCATCGTAATTAATCTACACCTTCAATTTCAACCTTCTATCCTCAGTCCTAACCGCACGGATTTTACTATTTTAGATTTAAACATTTTAGGCTTGTTTTAGACTTTTGGTTAGAGATTCATATTAGGAGATTGATTATTAGGGTAGGGTTCATTGGTGAACTCTGAACCTTTTGGACAAATTATGCAGAATGATGATGATTTTTATGGGAGTTAAAATATTTGTTACCCTACTCCTTGAATTGTGTATGGTGATGAAGTTATCAGAATTTGAGGGGTCATTATTATAAGAGTATTTGGAGAGTTTGCAGAGCAGGAAAGAGCTCTCAATGAGTATTGAGTAGATATGTTGGCCAAATACAATCCTTAATACGGAGTATAAAAAATTTCTCCCTTTGAAGAGTAGAATACGGATCTTAAGGTTTTAAAAACTTAAAACTTTTGTAATTACAAGAATTGCTTTAGAATTTTGTGGCTTATGTTCTGTCTAAAGAGTCTGACCAAAAGGCCTTTAAATAGCCCTCAAACAATTTGAAACAAATGATTATTATTATGTGGAACTTCTCAGTTTAAATTCTGTATTTACTATTTACAAGATCAATTCTTATTCACTTGCTTTCTTTATTTTCGTTACTCATATGTTAAAATAATAGTCATATCACCTCTTGTTTCATACTCTCTCCGTTCTCAAAAAAAGTTTCTAGTTCGACTAAGTGTAAAAATAAGGAAGTGTTAAACTGTAGTTGACTTTCAATTTTGCCCTTGATATGATGGGTAAAAGTAAGATGTGATGGATAGATTATTAGAGAAAAAGTAAAAAATGTGATAGGTAGAGTATGACAAAGTAAAGGTAAAAGTAGTGATTTTTTAATAGAATGTAGAAGTATTTTATTGGAAGTGAAAAAAATGAAAGGGAAAGTGTTTTTGAGAACAGAGGGAGTACTCTTGATTTAATTTTGAATATATAAATTTTATTTTTATTTTATAGAAATCACTCTAAATAGAACTATAAGATAAAGAAAAGTACCAAAATAAGACTTTCATATTTTTTTCGAAATAGGACTTTACACATTGGTAATGTGGCACTATGCACATTACTATATTTTTTTGGTAATGTACATGATCATGTTTGGCAATGTACATGACCATGTTTGGTAATGTAAGTCTTATTTTGAAAATAAAAACATGGAAGTTTTATTTTGGTATATTTTTAATGTTTAGTCCTACTTTGGTCTTTTTCCTTATATTTTAACCTAAATTCTCAAATAAATTGTTTTAAGAATAACTTCAGTCAAACATCGTACATCAAAACAGACATATGATTTAAATTGAGACGAAGAGAATAACATTCTAATTTGTTGCTGAATACAACTAAACACATCTAAGTCCAAAAACATTTTCGAGTGTCTAAAACGTTTGGTTTTGAAAAAGGATTTGATAAAATCTTACTCGAAAATTTAAAAAGATTTTAGTTGGAAAAACAAGGAGAGTAGAAGAGTTGTTATTATCAAAATACGGGAGGGGTAAACCATTTCCCTCTTTTTGATAAGAGCAATGCTAGGGATACACCAAAAATGTATTCCAAATGTATACCATCCCTTTCTCCACCGAGAAATGCTAAAGTCACAAAAACTCTGTAGTTTCCATGTAGTTACCTTTTTATTTCAGAGTATTTGTCAAGTTTGATCTTTTCAAGTTAAATTGGGTAAGTTTTAATTATCAATTAAACAAAAATTATATTAAATATTAGGATACAAATGATTTAGTTACAAAAAATATTATCAAAAAATTGTTCATTATATTATTATGTGATGTAATTTAATGCAATTGATGATTGAAATTCATCTAGTTTGATTCGAAAAAATCAAAATAGACTAATGAGAGGGAGTTGTGTCACGAGATTTAGGATGGATTTTAATTAAAAAACAACTTAATTAATGATGCTGATTTCTGTAATTCCCTTGCCTATTATTCCATACATCATCTAGATAGTTAATTATTACCCACCAAACCCCCCGCCCCCCACCCTTTCTTCAATGATTGACTATGGTGATCAGGTAGCCAATCAGCAAAGCGGGGAGGGTGCATGGGGTAGGAGATTTTAGAGGAATAGCAACCATCAATTTTTTAACGGAGCACCATAGCCGTCTCCATTCATGATATAACATTGAATATGTTCAATCTCACATGAACCAAACCTTTTAAAGATTGAGATAGAACCGGTGTGATCAGCAATTGTTTTGGTACAATTAATTTAAATTCGGATTGATCAACAAAAAAATGCTCAAACTAATAATTGAAAAATTTCACATAGTAAATTCTTTAAAAGAATATTCTCTCAAACAATTAATTGAAAAAAACTCTATCTTTTCATAATTTTGTATTCAAATAGTTTGGTTGCGTTAGGACGGAGTCGATTTAGAACACTATGGAGGCTGTTGATTTTAAACAAGTAGGTTTGCGGAGATTAGGTGCATAATTGTTAGATTATTTAATTACCGGTTTTTAATAGTTTCTTATCTTAGTGCTTGTTTTGTTGAGACTAATATTTTAGATTATTGAACTCTTGCTCAAGATTTTTGCCATTATCAAAAGAAAAATGCTAGGGGTACACATTTGGTGTACCCCATTTGTCCCCCACCCCCTTCTTGTCCACATAATTGGGTAAGAAAATCAAAAAATAAATAAATAAATAAAAATTAAATAAAAATGAGTGGTGGAGAAGAGAAGTACTAGAGTCACAAACATTTTGGTCACAAAATACACAAATTTACTATTTGTGTATTTAAATGTCTACTTTTTAATTATTTATCATTATTTTATTCACTTGGTGAGATGCACAAAATACACCAAAGTTTTTGTGACTTTAGCATTTCTCATTGGCTGTGTTTGGAAAATAGCCTCTTTACTTGGCTGTTTTGACGGTAACAGCCAAATTTAGATAAGCTAGTGGGTGCAGCGTTTAAGGTTGGCTTTTCACATTAAATTCTTTCGTTGCCCTTGTATTAGCATCTGTTAAAACCAATTCTTTTTTTCTTCCAAGTAGAAAAAAAACCAGTGAGTTCAACTAATTCTGTTTGCCCTTCTTTCTAGTCAAGAGTTGGATGTCAATTCCACTTTTTTTATTTAAAGAAGCTAGCCTTTCATACTAATATACTCCCTTTTAAAATAATTTTTTTTGACAAAAGTGTTAAAAAGTGTGAAAAGAGTAATTAAAAATTTAGAATTTGAAAAGAGGAAAGAGAACTCTTTTTGGCCACATAATTTCTTCTTTCTAAGAAAGGTAAAAATTATTTTGGAACATCCAAACAACAACAAAAAAAGTAGAATATTAAAAGAAGGTTGGGGTATATAATTAGAAGCATGTCCTAAAATTTACTCCGTACTTTTGTTTATAACAATTATTTATCAACAGCTAAGTTAGTCAAACATTTTTTCGTGAATAATTAATACGATCAGCCGCTCAAAACAGCTAACACATTTAGCCGTTCAAATCATCCAACCGCTAACGGCTAACTCCCAAACAAGCCATTTGCAATATATTTTGTTATTGTAGGGGCTTAATCTTAGACAACAAAAATTTACAACAAATTGGTTGTTGTTACCCCCCATAACACCTCTTTTAAACCCCCAAGCCCGACCCGTTCCAAAAGAACCCTCTTCACTTTGTGGTCAAATACTTGACCAAAATAAAAAAATGGTGCAATTGGAGGAGGTGCTGGGGTGCGTTAGGGACACACAGGTTTGGGATGTTTATCAGGGGTGGGGGTAGGAGGGTAAAAACAATCAATTTTACGAATAAAATACCATAGCTACTCCAAACAGAGTGTTGTAACATTTGTTGTAATTTTTTTATGTAAGATAAAAGCCCCACTTTGTAATTCACTCCTAGGTATTTACCCACTTATACAACCCCAATAGAAATAGATTGAAGTTGCCAACCCTACTCCCACTTAGGTTTTTTCTGATCTAATTTAATTTTTTGAAGATCCAATCAAAACTAATCTTATTGTAATTAAATTTAAAATTATTTCTGAATTGATCTAACTTTAATAAGAATGAATAATAAACTAAAAAAAATAAATTAAACGGAACACACCCTTAAAAGTAAAGCTTTTTACAAAGACTCCCGCTAAAAAATACGGAGTATAAGAATTGTTCTTTTATAAAACTTCTGAGAAAATTTTAGTTAGAAACTCGGAGGTTTCAAGTAAAATTTCAATTATCAAGATTAATTACTACTCTATATGATTTTGAAGGAACTATACTTTTTCGTGTTACTATTCAAGAATCAAGGCTTCAAGTAAAACATAAGAGTGCAAGACATTTTATCGAAGTCCTTGATCCGAGAAGTTTGGGACTGTTGACGAAAGAATTATGTTTATATGGAAATACTTATTTTTGTTGTATACTGCATCCCCGTTCCGAAATAAGACTCACGTTCGGTTTACGATGTTTGACTGAAATTATTTTTTAAATCAATATAAGTAAAAACAAGTGTAGAATTAAAAAATAAAAATTATACTCCCTCCTTCCAGATATGTTCTTCTCATTTTTCTTTGTGGTCAATTCAGAAATATTCTTTCAATTTCTTTTTTAGTCTACTTTTTAAAGATAAATTTCAATAATATCCTTTTATTTTACCACTAATCTACTTTTTTATTGCTTTTTTAATAGGAAAAAAAGCTCTAAAAGTTTATAGAACATACATGCATTTTTGGAAATTTGACACTTTTTTTACTACTTTTTAATAAGCGTGTAAAGTCAACATGTGAAGAACATTTTCGGGCGGAGGGAATATATTAAAAAACTACATCAAAATTTCTACTTCGTACTCTACAAAACAGTGGTGATAAAGTTATTTTACTTTATTAAATTATTGACGGAACTGTATAAAGAAGGTAGAGTTGATTTGACCAATGAATAGTAACAATGAGTCTCTTTTTGGACAGAGGGGATATATTCTTTGGTATAGCTCTCTTTCCTATAGAACTCTCCTTTGTTGAGATGTTTTTTGTTACTCCGTATTTAGTTTCCCTGTTCAATCTTTTGGACATGAAAATAGTCAAAATACAAGCCAATCCTGTCTCCAAATACTCATTATTCTATACATGGGTCGTATTATTGACTCACATGGAATTGTATCATACTGTCTCTAACTTGAATAGCAGTCAAAAAAATGTCTTTGCATCATCAAGAGAAACATGATTTTATTATTTTTCATTTGAAAGCCATGAAACAAACAGTTAAATACCTTATTATTTTTAGCTTTTCATCCTGTAAGTGCTCTTTCATCGTGTATTTAAAAGAATCCTTTCGGCTATACTCTGTAATATCTATACGAAAACAGAAGTGTGGTATGCTTGAAAATACAACATTAGCTTCAAGGGCACTTTCTTTATTTGAGAATAAGAGGAGAAATAAGCAGGGCACCTGAAGCATTCATTTGCTTTGCTCTGTTTTTTTGGCTAGAGAACTATTTTCTGTGCAGGATCCGATCTGGAAAGCTCATCATACATTTGAGATATTGCGTCGGCAAAGTATGCTTTTGCCTGTGGCCTCTTAACCTAAAACGCATGTCCAAAACAGAGGGCGAAGCTAAGTTTGGACAGAAATGCAATCTTCAACATTTGGGAATTTCACTTTTTTTAAAGTGCCGACAAGTTCCATGCGCTGAAATGTTTTGTCAAATAATCCCTCTATTTGAAATACATATACTCCGGGGTATAATCTTACATGTGTTAGATATAATCGGGTTTGTTCACATATAACCGAATGGGTAATGAGTCAATGTTCGGGTCAGTTAGTATAGAGTCAATTAGTGTGGTGTCGTTTAGTGTGTTTTACATATTTAATTAATTAAAAAAGCAGTGGGTAGTTTCTAAAAGGCAGTTATGGGTAGTTTCTATTGTTAATAGGTGTGTTGGTTTGTAATAGGGGTGTTGGTTAGTAAAAGTCATGTTGGTCTGTTCTCTATTTATATTTAGAGAACACAAATAATCCTGGACAGTTTTTATTTAAATAAAATATTCTGTTTTGCTTTGTTCTGGTCCTGTCTAATAATTGGTATCAGAGCGAAAACCCAATAAGGACCCAACGATCAAAGGGAGCGGTCTGTCTGTGTCTTGTGATTAGGAGTTGTATGATCGAGAGTAGAAGGGCTGCCAAATCATAATACAAAGTGTTAGAGACTTCCTCGACAACAGATCAAGAGGATTCTTCCTCGCCTAGGACAAAAATAGCAGGTGGCTAATTTTTTCCTTTGGCAGAAGCATTCCATCCAAACAGCGCGGGAAAAACGAATCAGCGGGGTAGCTTTCGTTTAGTGGCTTGGAAGACGGAAAAGCAGGGGCTTGTTTTCTGGTTGATGGTGGATTGCAGGTGGCTTACAACCCGGGAAGGAATCGAAGTTAAGAATTTTGTGAAAATTGTGGAAGGAATAAAAGTCGTACAATGGGAGAACAACAAAAATAAGACAGATTGTGACTACAAGGGAGAATAGTTAACAGTTTTCCAACCTTAACCTGAGGAAGAAGATATGCAAGGTAAACTACTATTAACTAAAAGTGATGGAAAAGAGAAGGTTAAGGAGCACAAAACTGAGCATTGTGGTTGCGGGAGCTCAAACTGTGAAGACTTTGGACGTGGCCGAGGTAGAGGTCGGGGTCCAGGAAAAGTCGGGATGGTGGACAGTTTCAGCGGAAAAAGAGTCGCATTAGGTGCTTCAAGTGCAATGAGTTAGGGCATTTTTGAACGAATGTCCAAAATGGGATCAAAAGGAACACATTGCAAATTTGATTAAAGATGATGATGAACCAACATTGCTGTGAAGATCAGTGTGAACAAACAACGATTAGGGGCGTGATTGTTAGATATAATCGGATTTGTTCACATATAACCGAATGGGTAATGAGTCTGTTCGGGTCAGTTAGTATAGAGTCAATTAGTGTGGTGTCGTTTAGTGTGTTTTACATATTTAATTAATTAAAAAAGCAGTGGGTAGTTTCTAAAAGGCAGTTATGGGTAGTTTCTATTGTTAATAGGTGTGTTGGTTTGTAATAGGGGTGTTGGTTAGTAAAAGTCATATTGGTCTGTTCTCTATTTATATTTAGAGAACACAAATAATCCTGGACAGTTTTTACATCAATAAAAATTCTATTCTGCATACCAATCTGTTCTTCCTATCAGTTTTCTACAACATGTAGGGTAACAAAATTAAAAACAAAAAAAGAAACTTCCAGAAAACGCCCTTTATAACATGAGGTTTTCCGCATGTACTCCACTTCGTGACAATATTATATCCGTGGTTCTCTATATTTGGGAACAATTCGACTTTAGGAGTTGTGGGGAATAGTTCCAAAATATGAAGGACCAGCCATATTAACACAAAGGGCATATTGTGGAATAGTTCTCAAATATAGAACATAAATATAATACTTTCACAATGTGGACTATATGTGGAAAACCCCATGTTATAAAGGACATTTTCAAGAAATTACTTGAAAAAATAAACCAACATTGTTAGACTGAAAATTTATCCAAATTGGGATGTGGTGTTTGTCCCCTAACAGATGGGGCACAAAAATTTGAAATGCAGATACTAAATTGACTAAATTTTAGTTGGAGACTATTAAAAAACTAGTTTTATCATATTCGAGTGGTAAGTTTAGAAACTCACCTTGAATGTGGGTGTAAGGAGACCATTCTCAATTGTAAATGGCTCAGCTACTAAGGTGACAGCTTTTGCAAATTCAAACCCTCTCAACTGTTTAGAGACAAGAATAGGGCATTGTTAAAAACTACTTGCTACTTTTTCCATCCAGATTTCACTTTCTAAAAACCTCATTAATAAAAGATGAGTCTAGAATGTCAAATAAGTCTTTCAAATGTTGCTACTCAATCGTGTCATCAATGCTTATACTCGATTCTAGGATATTTTGGACACTTCATACTCCCTTCCATCCCAAAATTATGGTCTCACTTCGAACAACGTGCAAAATCACATCTCTTTAAATCTATTTTGTTTACAAATCGGTATAGAAATTAAATGTACAAATTACACATTTAAAAACTACATCAAAAGTTCTACAAAACAAGAGGTGAAAAGAATATTTTATTTTAGTGATCAACAAAACATGAAAACAAACAAAAGTTATCGAGAGTGACGATAATTCTGGGCAGGAGGGAGAATTTTTTATTGAAAATGGAAAGTGGATAACTAATTTCAGACAAAAAACAAGTAGACAACTAACCCTGGATGAAGTACAATTATATTAATATTGTTTTGACATACAGCTGTATGTCTAAAGACTATTAAAATGCTTCTATAGAGAAAATAATGAGCATAACCCTATAGGAAAATTGACCCTAAATTTGATGTCAACTACTGTGGATTTCCTAAAGAGGGTGCATGGGGTGATGCCCCTTGTCACCAATAATGAACAAGGACAGGGGGCTGGTGTCATTGGGAGAGGAGGGGTGAGTTGTGAAGGTTTGGGGAGGGAGTGAGGGGTAAGACCCAGTTTCAAGTGAAATGGAGCACCACATGGCTCACATAAGACCTCAATGTCAAAAAATGATACCTAGGATCGGTGTCAAAAGAACGGTACCTATACTAAACTAGTATAATTACTATTTTCAATACATAACTCGCATCTGAAAAATTTCGGAGCTAATTGAACGTTCCCACACACCTAAACAAACACAAGTTAAGAAAACCTGAAATGCTATACCTGAGCCTCCCTTCCTACAGCATCCATGTCTGCTAGAACGGCAGCCTTGGCTCTTGGATCATTGCATAGTTGTTGCAAAGTTTCATACTATTATCCAAATGTTTTCTCAATTAGGAATAATTTTTAACAAAGTTGCAATTGAGAATTTTGATAGTAGTGATGAAAAGTTACCTTAATACCCTCGGATGTAGCCCACTCCTTCAACACATCTGGATCTACACAAACCACAGAAACTAGAGAGGAATTCAAGCTATCACCTGCAGACAGAAAACAAGTGAGCAGACAGAATTTTAAAAAAAATATTCCAGCACGCAAATTCCAGGTGTCTTTTTACCATATACAAAGCATTGTGCAACAAATTTGCACTTGGCATAAGCATTTTCAATTTTCTCTGGAGCAATATATTCACCCTGTGCCAGCTTAAATATGTTCTTTTTCCTGTAAACCATGAAAATTAAACATTTATACAACCAATATAAAACAGCATCTTATTAATTCCTAAAATAATAGGTGGCTAGTTGCTCAAAAATTCAAACACTATATACTCAGACCAGTACATAACAGACAACTAATACCTAATACCAAACTAATGACATGTTCTCCTCCAGTTCCTATATTATTTCACTTTCCTTTTTTTATTGTACCTAAATTATCACTTATTTCTTTTCAATGAAGGCAATATGTGGTTTATATTATTTCTCTTATAAATATATCTCAACAATACAGATCTCATTTTTCTAAATCTCATGCCTGGTCAAAGTGCACAATAATTTAGAGAATCAGGGAGTATATGTTTAAGCTACCAATCTCATTATAATGAAAGAGGATGCTACCTGTCAATAATCTTCAAACGACCCCCAGGTAACCACAATCCAATATCTCCCGTGTGCAGCCAACTCTCTTCATCAAGTACCTCTCTCCTGTCAATTTTCTATGTTAGTCAAGGTCTTCCTCAAAATTCTGCAAGATATTCTAAACATGCATCAATGGAAAGGCTTATACGTTTGCCCTTCATCTTTGTAATAGCCTTGGAAAACAATGGGACCCCTGACACAGATCTCTCCCCGTGGATAGGGCTTGTCCTTAGATGTGTAATTCATCTCAGGAACATCCACAAGCTTGATTTCTGAAATTGTATTAATTTGACAATTCAGGTGCCATAAAATGAAGTACTACTGGCTCACAGAGTAATGCATGTATTCATAAACATCATGAGCTACAATCAGAAAAAACCAGCTCACATGAGGAAATACTCAAAAAGCACAGAAGAGCAAGAGACTACCAAAGCATGATTTTCAAATTAGTAATTAGTATGTCCATAAAGGAACCTTACAGAGTGATTTAGTTTCCTCTAAAAGTGGTTGTTAATTATGGGTGTGTGCTAATAATTAATATCTTTCCTTTTTAACAATTTAATTAGTTTTGGTAGGATTGAACTTGTCATTTCTCTTGATCTCAACAAATTTGTACAAAATAGCTAAATTGAATATCTTAAGTGATAACTTGAGCATAAATGATCTAAGCAATGAAATAACCTTGACAACCTAAGCAATGAAGGAATATATTCTACAAGTCTACTTGTCTAGACCACGCTCCCCTCAAGCTAGAGCATACAAAATCCAAATTATAAACACCATGCTTGTTAAGAATTTTTATTTTATTTTAAACATCTTAGAGACTTTTTCAAAATGAAAGTTGATTATGTATGCTTAGTAACCGTGCATCCATATGTGATCTTTTGTCAAACAAAGTGCCAAGTCAATTGCAATGTGCTTAGTCCACTCATGGCCTCTCATGGAATATCGGCTTTGTACTGCGCTTGATTGTAACAAATATAGGGGTTGTTCAGCTGGACTAATATTCAGTAATGTTTTGTTCAGTACCATTCAATTCAGTACTGTTTAGGTCAAAAGTACACTACAATCAGTTCAAATCAGTAACATTCACCACATAATATCTACTAAACGCCCCCTAAATGTGTTGGGTCTTTACTTATATACTTTAATTCCTGGAGGAGATGTTTTAGCCATAGGATCTCCCATTATGCAAGAGCCATCAGCCCAACACATGATTCTCTGCCGAGAACACTTGATCTTGCAACCATCTTTGTTGCTCGATTTTCAAGGAGATTAAGTTTCCACCAATTATAATACAATATCCACAACAAATCATCTATCTTGTTGGACAATGTGCTATTACATGAATATGTATATTGCAAAGATTCTTGCACATTGTCTTTAGGTTTTGATAATGACAAAAGGCCAAATCAAATTAGCATCAAGGCTAAGAGTATGATTGTTCAAGAGCTACGAAAAACTGGTTTAGGATTTGATAATGAAGGGACACTTTAATCACGAATGAAGGATCAAGACCGAATACTTTGAAGGCCTCTTGGCTTGTTAGTCTTTTAGGTCTTAGTATGTACAGTAAATGTTTGGGTATCTATGAATAGCAAACCACAACCAAAAAAGAACACGCACAAAACCGAAATCAAAACGGAGAAAACGGAACACAAGTTTTATAGTGGTTCGGTCGGGTGACCTATATCCACTCTGCAACTAGGGTTTTTATTATTCAGGTGCTCAAAAAATTACAAGTACAGAAATTGCTATTATGAAGACTAAACTAGTGTTAAAAGCTTAATCCCCAAGTTAGGCCCAAGCACACATAGAGATTCGAGACCAACTGTCAGGCAAAGAAGATAAAAGCAGCAACGCCTGAAGTTCATCATCAAATTTAATTCCAACTGATACTAACTGAGTTATGACCAAATTAAACTGGTTAATGTGAATGGTAACTGAAGCACCCTCCCTCATTCTGGTGTTAACCAACTGGCTGATCAAAAACACATTGTTCACTGCTGAGGGTGTCTCGTACATATTCGAAAAAGCTTTCATTAACCCGCGCGTAGCTGTTTCATTGACTATGTTGAAAGCAACACTCTTCGCCAATGACAACCTGACCACTCCCAAAGCTTTCCTGTCCAAAATCACCCAATCTGCATCACTCATCTTTTCTGGCTTTTCTCCCAATAACGTTTGGTATAACTCTTTCTGATAAAGAACATCCTTGATTTGCATCTTCCAAAACCCAAAATCACTTCCATCAAACTTTTCAATCTTTATCTTTTCATCTGCCATTGTTTCCATACACAGCTAAAAAAACTGATCTGAGATTGAAAAACCAATAACGAACTAAGCTTTTGGCGGCAGCTAATCAGAGCCCTAGCGGCGGCGGCTGTTCACAGTGGCGGCAAGGTTACTGTTCAGGAGACGGTGCAAACCGTATTCTGCAGCGGAAACTATGACGGTGGTGGAACTGATCTTCAAACCCTTTGAAACCCTAATCTTTGATTTGAACCTGATCTCCACGAACCCGAAGACTTCAATGATCACGAGCCTAAGGTTCGGATACCAGTTGTTGGGGTATCTACGAATAGCAAACCACAACCAAAAAAGAACAAGCACAAAACGGAAATCAAAATGGAGAAAAGGGAATACCAGATTTATAGTGGTTTGGTCGGGTGACCAATATCTACTCTGCAACTAGGGTTTTTATTATTCAGGTGCTCATAAAATTACAAGTACAGAGATCGCTATTTATGAAGACTAAACTAGGGTTAAAAGCTTAATCCCCAAGTTAGGCCCAAGCCCACATAGAGATTTAGGGCCGGCTAAATTAAAAACCTAATTTACTGCCATATGGGTCAAACCAAGACTAGGGCCGGCTGCCCTTCTTGGTCAAGCCTGCACACTCAATTCGCCCAAGAGTAAAGAATATGACTTTAAGAATACTCCAAGACTATCCTCAGTGACTCTTCTCTGACCCGACCTTCATCCCCGAGGATCTTTTTACATTTTAAGTTTAACTTTACACTTTTACCATATATAATTTCAATAATAGTGTTTTGGACTTAGACAAATCAGCTGGAAGACCAGGATTCGAATACTACCTAGGTAAGACTCGAATGCTAAGGCTTTTAACAGAATGGGTGATTTGCATGTAGCTTAAACATTCCAATGTAGCACCTTAGTATTTGAATGTCTAATGTTTGAATTGAATAGCACTTCCTTTTAAAGCCTTGACACATTCAGATGTGCCTTGTGTTGCATTCGAATGTGGTAGTGATCGTTGGTCCTCACAATGGTAGGAAACCGCTTAGTATTCAAAGACTAGGGTCCTAGGATTCGAATACTAAGCAGTTTCAACTGTTGTAAGAACTAATTTTTTCAAATGTTTGTTGCCTATATCTTACTCCTTTGACCCCCAACACGCTTTTTCTATCCAAACAATCGATCCTACAAGATCATATTCCTGCATTGTTTGAGTCTTTAAGAGTTGCTACAACCATATTCCATAGAATCTTGTTTGTATTACAGCAACCCATTATTTTGAAGAGCTATTCCGCTGTGGCTTTTGTTTTTGTTGTAAAAGAGAAGGTGAGATCGTTTTCTCTTGTTAATTGGATCTGAAGTTGAGACTACTTCAAGTTGGAAAAAAATCCTAGAATTTTTCAAATCAAATGTAGGTGGATTATTAAGAGGCTAGTGAATCCAATTTCTCAAGTTTTACCGGTTTGCCAAACGCCCGTAAGTTTGGTGGTAAGACAGTGAAGGCACGGGCACAGTTGTCCGAGGATTGGATGTAGGCATTAGACCGAACCAATATATATCCAGTGTTCTTATTGCTTTCCACTATAATTTGTTTGGTGAGTGTTTGATTTGAGTTCCTTATACATGGGCAATATTTTATGAGGAAAATCCTGCAAAAAGCTTTGGTTTTTGTTGAAACCTCTTTAACCCCCCCACCCCAACCCACCCACCCTAGAAGTATGCATTAATTCCAACATATACATGAACAACCAGCACAATCAACCACAATGTCCAAGAGACCCCAGCTCAAGATACAAGAACACTACAAAAAAGGATAACTGCATGAACAAAGTAAGAACACATGCAAAAACTACAAACTTAGGCGCACAAGCACATACACAGAAAGTACAAATTAGGATCCAAAGGTCTTCTTTACCACCCGAATCCTAGACCTCCAGCCAATCTAAGGTCATATCCACGGTAAGAAGTTGAACTACAATTTGGCCCTTGCAATTCGTAGATATAAATTTTGGATCTTTGAATCGGGGCATTCTGTAAAATTACACATCAGAATTCTACTAGAGTTCTTGCATATTCTAACCATTGAAGATCAAAGGTGAAGCCTTGAAAAGATTAAGGAATATGGACAATATTGGATGGAGGATCGAAGATCTATAGTCACAATAAGAGAGGAAAAGAGTAATATACTTCTAGGTTAAATTTATATTTCTTTATTTGACTAGGTTTTCAGCTTTGAGCATATGTATTAAATTAAATTTTAATCATTTAAAGTGGTGCCAAAAACCCTAGGTTCAAACCTGAGCCACCCAAATTTTTAATGGGTATGCATGTTTGGTCAGATTTTCATTTGCCTTTTTGTGTTCTTAGTTCCGGAATTTTGGGCATTAATTTTGACCTCCTCTGTCCTCTGCTCTGATCTTCTCTCGTGAGTAACGGCTCTTCCTCGGGTAGTCGCCAGCAATTTGACTCTCACCGTCCGTCCTCCCTGCCGGTGGTTTAGAAGGTCGTAGGACGGCGGCGGGCGACGGCGGACGACAGCTAGGAGCACAGGTAAGTTCACTCTCACCCATACCCCCACCCCTTACCCTGACCTAGTACCCGCAGATCCGACCCAGATCTGACCCATAGTCGCCAGCCCTTCGCCGCCGGCCTGTCCCCCGGCTCACCGCCGACCTGTGCCCCATCTCCTACCCAAATCCGTCCCTCTGCCGCCGGCTACCCTTGTCGCCGACCTGTCCCCCCGACTCCTCCGTCAAGGATCCCCCCTCCCCCCCTCAACCGGAACCCTCTGCCCCCATCTCCGCCAGCCCTAGGCGACACACCACCACCACCACCTCC